ATTCTTTTCTACTGTAAATTGGTTTAAAGCAATTAATTTGTATTTTAATCCCAGATTTTGTAGTTACTAGAAGTTTTCAGGTCAAGCAAAACTTGAAGTTTTAAATTATCTGAAATTGGAGGTTAATCAGCAGTTGTTTTGTCCCCTCTTCATTCATATTAATTCTTGATAGTAAATAAGAGTTTTGTTTGGATCCAAGTTCCAAATGACTGATGATGTCTTTATTATTTCATTTGATTAATTTTCTGGTAACTGAGGTGTTTTGTCTTTTGTTACACTAACCAGTAGTTTTACTGGGCTACATTTCACAGAGCAGTTGTCTTCATGAAACCTTATGTTTCTTTGTGATTTTTAAAACTCAAATCTACGTTTTGTAGTTAGATAGCAAAATCCAATAATGCATATATTAACTAATGTTTTAATTAAATTTTTTCATGGTTTCAGAGTAGCTACTCTGAGAACTATAGTTAACCTTACTCCTGTGAAGTGATTTATTAATAGAGAGTAGAAACCCGTTTTATCTGACTGAAGGATTAAAATAATATTAAGTTAAAACTATCTAGTTCCCTCCCTTTCTTCTTCTTCTGTTCCTTTGTAAGATGAATAAAGGTCATTTGAAGTTAATGGCTAGAACATTTGGAATTAATGGCAGGAAATGCTATTTCTAAGAATAGGTAATCTCTCTTGTAGGCAGGGCTAAGCCCATTTCTCATTGTAAGATGTGTTCACTTGCTCATAATTCTGGTAAACCTTAAACAGTAAGGCTGGGCATTTCCATGTCAGCTGCCTGCTTCAGGCCAAATGTGGAATTTTTATGCAAAATACTTAGCAGTTTCCAAGGCTGAGACTAGAATAAACTTTTGTTCCTTTGGAGTTATTAACAAGAGGTCTTGTTGTTGTTTTTATTAAATTGTTTAACAGCTTAGTTTTCTTAACATTTAGGGCTGAGGAGCTGAAGCTTGCTGAAATGGAAGTCTTTTGTGTTAGGCATGTGTCCTTGGCCATGGAAGTCTGTCCAATTTTGATAAAGTTTCATATGACTTCAAAAAAACAAAGTTTACAGATACTTCCAAGACCTCTTTCTTAGCAGTAGGCCTGGAATAGTGTGTTTAAGGAATCTTCTGAGGGTTGGTGGGAAGATGGAGAGTCATTTGGTAGAAGGAAGATAATAGGCAACAAAAATTGGAGTGCCTTGGGTAAAGGGATTTAGCAAGAGGGCAAGGAGAGATGGACTAGAGTATTTCAGAAATTCAGGAGATAAAGTGATACCTGAATACAGTGGTCAAATGGAAGGAAAGGTGAAGAGGGGTTGAACCTGGGGGAGATGAACAGCATGGGCCAATCAACCCATGGTTTTCTCAAAAGCCCCAGTGTAAGTGCTGTTTCCTTTGAGTCAGGGTGGCGTGAAAAGATTATACTTGTGTGAAATCTACAGCTAGCTCTAAACGTACAACACAGGAAAAATGATTCATTCATCTGGTCATTTATTGCAGTGTCTCAAGGATTTGTGTGATGGGCTTAAGTGTGAGGTATATACAGTGATATATGCTAAAATGACATTTAAAGAAAAAACAAAAGTTATTAACATACTTATCTAGATTTAGGATAGGGAGGACAAACTCTATTCTATAGCCTTCTGAAACTTAATGTTCATGATCTAGAGGTATTTATTTCCATGCATGACATTAAGTACTTGCTTGTGAAATAAACGTAAGCCAACCTTGAACTTGGTACATGTGCTGGATGTTTACTGGTTATCAGCTGAGTGAAGTAGAATCCTGCTTTGTCTGTACTAGTGCTCTCCCCAGTGCTGCAAAATCTGGATGTGTGTAGTGAATAAAGCAGGAGACAAAGGAAGTAAAAGGAAGTTTATATGGGTAAGGTAGATGAATCCATCTGGGGAGAGATGGGTCCTGACTCTGCAGAGTTTTGTCTGTTGCTCAACAGTGACTTAATATTTTGCAGATTTCATCTTGTTTCTTTATGTTGAAACTGAGATCCCCAAGGCTGATTTGCAGAAGTACTGGGTATTTGTAATTCGAAGTCCATAATTTGAACACGATCAACTGTTAGGAATCTGAGAGTGAACATCCTGAGACCCCTGTATGTTTTTGGGAATTAAGCTTATTTCACCTCAGTTTGCATATTGCCCTAGAAGAGTGGATATTACCATTCCCACTTTCTAGGGTGCATTATGAAGATTGATTAATGGCTGTGATGAGAACTATTTAAAAGGTCCTGATGAAACCAATATTCCTGCCTTGATGGTAGGATTTGAATAGTCTGGTCCGAAAAAAAGACACAACCGCATATGGAATCATCTCTGTTGTGTAGAGAATAAAGCAGGGGGCCTTGTCAAAGGATATGTCAGAGAATGAGTACCTGATTAAAGACAATATCTGAATGCATATGTGCAAAAAGGAAAAATTAAGCTTGAAGAGGCAGCCATTCCCTAACTTACCAATGTTTGTCTTCATGATATTCTGAACCCTCTTTTCATGCAGTATTTTTTAATGTGTAATTTATGTTTCAACAGGGAAAGAGACTGTTAGAGTAATCATGAAGAGAGGGTGAAATGTGAAGCTGTGTATTAGAAGACCTCCAAATTTAGTTATAACTATTTTTTCTGTGTGAGTATAGGTGCTTGCTTGATGCTGTGCTGGCATCTGTAGTTCTGTGGTAACTGCTCTGAGAATGAAATGACCACAGACTGATCTTTCCACAGTCACAGTATGTGTGGAGGTGAGCCTGTGGCACCCCCAGAGGAGGCAGTTGCTCAGGCAACTGGGGAATTTTGTCCAGTTGCTGCCTATTTCTGTCAGTGGATGAAGGCAGGCTTCTCCTTTAAAGGCTGAAAGCCTTCTACAAGTGCTTTATTTACAGTAAAAAAGAATTGCTAAATTGCTAGGGGCACATTATGGAAAATGAAAACAACCCTGTTCTTCTGTGTTTTCTATTCTGTAGGTAAAATACAAAAGAGACTTTGAAGAAAGCAAAGGAAGAGGGTTCAGTATTGTGACTGATACGCCCGAGTTACAAAGACTGAAAAGGACACAGGAGCAAATCAGTAATGTATGTGACTGCTACCTCGAGTGATTGTAGATAGAGAACTAGTGTGTCTAGGTGTGTTTGTTGGTGTTTCTGATGAAGTCTGTGTGAGTGAAGAGTGTGATTTTGGTGACAGATTCGTGTATGTCTGATTTTGAAGTGTGTGTAACTGCATACCGTGGACTTGTACAGCACATTGGAAATGTGTGTTCACCTCTCCAGCTTTCAGCTAGTATGCTCAAAGTATTTTCTTTATTAAAATGATTTGACACATTTTTCTTTTCTAATAGATTTGCCAGCAAGTAAGAATACATTTGTAACTTTTAGTTTACATATAAAGTATATAAATTATACAAGTTATACAGTTTTGTCTCTTTTTTAGCAGGGACTGTAAAACTGAAAAAAAAAATAGCATAACTGTCAAGATAGAGTTTTCTAGAAACAGATAAAATTTTGGTGCTGAGTTTTAGAAGAAAATACACGCAACACAATGTTCTGCAAGATGAGCAAGAAATGGCAAATAGCAAAACTAATTGTGTTTCATTAGCTTACAGGAATGGGATTTTTAAAAATTGGATTTTTTCTGACTTACTATTTTCTTTTTTCTTTTTTTTTCTAAAATGTATTTACTAACTTTCACTAGAGAAGTTATTAGTTTGTATTGTATTCCCTCATAACAGGTTTAATTCACTACGTGAAGGAATGTTAGGTGATATGTAGTGCAAGTTATAATATATATGAAATAGGTAAGAACTAGTGTGAGCTAGAAATGATACAGAATCATTACTATGGCTTTCTTGGCTTTTCTCCTGATCATTCGTCTGCTGCAAGAACTTACCCCTAGTGGATTATTTTGTGAAAATATTTTTGAATCTTTCTCTGTGATAACAACACTACAGCATGGCATCAGAGACACCCAATGTAAGTATGATCAGAAGAAAATGATGGAATTTATTTACTTGAAAGAAATAACTTTTTTTTAGGTTGATATATTATTGGAAAAAAAAAGTCGATGAAAAATACTCATTTTTCACAGCAATGGAGATGTACTATTCTTGCCAAAGCATTGACTCGTTAAGATTTTGATGTCCAGAGCTTCTTAGAGGTGAAAAATTTGGGCTCATTTCCTGGAGCCTTGCCCAGTGGAGAGGACAGTTAATTTAAGAGATGTACAAATGCTCCTATGCATAGATAAGATGAGCACAAAAGCTCATCTCTTATGTTCATGCTGAGTTAATTGAAACTACTGGTTTGTAAGAGAGCAAGATGTATTCTACAGAGTGGCAAAAAGCATGGCCATTAAGAGTTCCATTTGGGATCTGGGAAACTTCAGCAAGTCCCTGGTTTTAATCAGCTCTATTTTTTATTCAGACCAGGAACGTAAATTAGGTCCTCTCGTGACCTACATAGCTTCCTCAAGCAAGAGTGATTCTTTTGCGTGGGGTAGCTCTGGAACGCATCAAGGAGATGAAACGAGCAATGCTCTGATGAATACTTAATCCCTCACACAGGTCTACTCCATTAGGAGAGGTTGAGAGGAGTAGCCTGCAGCAGGCCTGTGGTGCTCAGTTTCGGATACTGGCATGCCAAAATTTAATTGGATCTCCCAAGCCCAACACCCTCAACATCAGACTACCGAATAGTATGATACAGCTCACTTGCATGCTCTTTATCTCTCTCTTGTTCAAAGAGCACTGTGTTTTCTGTTGTGGGAAAAGGAGATGTCAAAACCAAGTTGTTCTGTGCCATGGGAAAGAGCTTTCTTCCTGTCTCAAGATTTAAATGGATCAAGGGGGTTTCTCTTCTAGCGGAAGACCTTGCTGCACAACTTATTGTACTGTCTGGTTCCTGAACCAAAGAAACCTATCTGACTTTTCAGTCTCAGAAATAGCTTTTTTAAATGTGAAGAATGGTTTTATTTCAGTTTTATTTCAGTTTTTTATTCAGTTTTATTTCAGTTTTTTTCCTTAGTGATTGCATGTGCCACTTCTGTCTCTTAATTTCTAACCACCCAGTCTTAACAATTTAGAGTTGTTTTCTTTTCTCTATGTATGTAACTGACAGAGGTTCCAAGTAATGAACTCTATTGTAAAGAATTAATCTGGAAGTGTAAAATGGAATTTCAAAATGCACATGATAAAAGAAGTTGCATTTAATTTCTCCTTATGCTTAAATAATAAATTCATTTATAACATTATATCCTAGAAAAATAATTCTGCATAGGGCGCAACTTGAATCTAATTAGAGAACTGCTGTATTATAGAAATGCATTCCACACAGAGTAGTTTCTGTATTTATCAGATAAGCAGTATGCATCATGGACTAAGGATTTAATTAATGTTTCAAGACACTGAAAGGTAAGCACTTTAATAATTCTAGATTAATTTTTCCATATATAGAAAAATGGAAGAATGCTAACATATCTATTCAATTTTCAGTTTTGATTTGATTTCACCTTGAAGTGTTAGATACTTCTCAAAGAGCCTATTTGAACCAAAATTGTAACAACTTCATTGAAGGGGTAAGTGAGCGTAGTTAACTGTGTAGATATTCTTGATAAAGATAAATAAAAAAATAAAACTAATGATAACAGATGTTAATTAGCATAAATATTTTTTAAAATTGTCTTTTTTTTTGTCCTGTTATTATGTTTGGCATCATACATGAATATTAGCACAGTGCTCTGACTTTTTAAAGAATTTCTTACGCTATGAATATAAACCTTGTGAGGAAAAAAAAATCATGGAAGGAGTGGAAGGAGAGTGGGTTGACAGAGGGTGTTGGATTTTGGTTGCTATTTTGCCACCAGCAACCCTACCTCTGAAAACTTAGACCAAAGTTACAGAATTCATTTTATGTCACAATGGAGGTGTTAGGACCAGAATGCAGTTTCTTAGAAAAGAATAAAATATATCCCAGTATCTCAGGGTTCTTTTTATCATTAAAAGCCCAGTTCTGGAGGGGTACTACATGCTTTTAGCATTGAATATGTAGTCACTACAAAAAATGTATACTCTTCACACAGAGAAATGTGTATATTTTGTTAAAGGACCTTGCAGTGGTTTTTGTTCGTCTTGAACTTTGAGAGGGTTTTCGATATGAATGTGAATATTCTCAAAATGAGGGTATTTCTATAGGTGGTTTTGCAGATAAGCTAACTGCACTCTGGTCTTGCAAGGAAAAAGTTAAGGTGGCAAAAAGAACAAAATAATTAAAGATGATGGCAAAAGATTATTGACCTGTCATGACACTGGCTAAATGAAGAAGTAGGAACTCAATATAATAATATTTTCTTTAGGGAAATGGAACACTTTCAGTGGTTTGCAGCAGTGAGCTGCAGCTTACTGCCACTGCACTTTTATGTCTAGCTATATGAGTTGAAGCATGTGTTATCCTATGTGAAATAAGCTGCTCTTTCTTAAATCTATTCCTGGTGAATGTCTGCAAAGTATAAAAGAAAACAGGTGTCCATACGAATTGATGGAGTGAGAAGCTTTCATTAAGATAAAGGCCAGTGCATGGATAGTAGAGGTTGCTGCCTTGGTTGTATGGCTCAAAGGATGCATGGAAGCTTTCACAGTGGTTGCCCTGATTGCTTTGAGAACCCGTGCAAAGGCATTTCTCACTTCCATATTAATGCTCTTACAAACTTAAATCATGTAGAAGCAAGAAGCACTGCACATCTGTGCCCTTCTTCCCTTTGAGAACTAACAAAATGAAGTAATATGGTTCATTTATTGGTATGTAACTCATTTTTCCAGTAGGTTTGGATTGTATATGAAATGAAAACTATATTTATAGTATATATTTATAAATATATTTATATATATATATATTTATATAAAAAGCACCTTTCCAAGGTATCCTGTTTTGGTGAAGAAGTTAGAAAGGACAGTAGAGTTAGTGAAGGGAAGGTCACTGAATCACCCCGCTATGGGGTAAGAGAGTGTCTCCCCCTTGTATTAGGACTTGAACTCCTCACTGAAATTAGTGAAGCCTGTATTGGCTGCAGAGAGAGAGCATGAAAATCTTGAAGCCTTTTTGAAAGTGTTTTATGTGAATTTTAATGAGAAAAGCTGTTTATTAATTGTCTTTAAATGTCTGTAATGAAATACAGTGCATGATATTGTTGTTGGTTTGTTTTGCCTTTTTTTTTTTTTTTTTTTTTTTTTTTTCCAGTATCAAGGGCCACATTCTACCACTAGTCAAATTTATAGAGCTTCAGGGATGCAGCAGAGAGCAGGGTTTCCCTCATAATTTGAATCAACTAAACACCTGCTATCTGGAGAAAGACACAAATGATAAGGAATTGGATACTACCTCAGATGTGACAAAAGTATGTCGTCAGTAGCAACTAAAGCAGAACACAAAACATATTGCTACTGTAGTTGTGCACATCTGCATATCTGAAATTAGAAACTGTTCCTAACAGACAATGAGCCATGGCTCCCTATTTGAAGCTGTTGGCAGAGCTGTTCAACGTGTTTACTTGCTCAAACATAAAATGATCTCTTAAATTGCTAAAACAGATTGTAGAGGAAATTGGCAGGAGGAGATGTTAACAGGGCCCAGAGCTGCATTTGCAGGATTCGCAGTGCAAAGCCTGCAGATACTTGTCTCCAGCGGCTTCTTTTCCTCCATTGAATTGAAGTGAAGAAGAAGAATAGGGAACAGGAAAAAATAACAGCAACATTAATGTCTACATTTCAACCATCCATCAAACCAACCTTCTATGAAGAGACTGGGTAAGCATGTTAAATTGCACACAAAAAGAGTTTATGCTGTTCTGGGCAATGCTGGGATTTCAACTGCTTCTGAAGTGATTTGTACTTTATTTGACTGTCCTTATATTCCTAAGCATGACTTTTATGTTGTTGTTTTTCACTTGGAAAATAAGCATTTAGTCGTGTATGACAATTGTGTCTACTAACATAGATGAAATGCACTTGCTGACCAGTACCTGAATTGCTGCATGTCTGTGGCATGTGGGTTAGGCTGGATGCACCATGGTACCGATTGCCTTCTGCTCCCCTTGATTCCTCTGACAGTTTTAACATGAACTACAACTCTAAGAGCTGTTCATTATTTGGTGTGCTGTGGGCTTAATTCCACACAGCTGTGCTTCAAATACACTGCATATAACTCATGTGATTAAGCATCTATCAGTTGCCTTCAACAGCATTTTTTTCTGGCTGGAAACAAGGAGGTTGAGTATGTAATTCCTATTGCTAATACGAGTGTATCTCTTCAAGAAGGTGGAGCTCCTATTGCTCTTCTTTGCAGTGAACACACATGCATAGATTCACATCCAGCCTTGTTCCTTTTGTAGATTGATCTTCCAAGCTTGCTTTGTATAGATACGTTCAAATGGAAATTCTGAGAAGCCCCAGGTCCTTTGACTTTCTAATATTTCTGTATTGAAGTTTTTTTGACTTCTCATTTTCAGTAAGCAGAAATCATTCTGCCTTTAGAGTCCTAATAAATGCTTTAGAAATGACATAGCAAAAGAATCACATTATTTTTCAATGACCATGAGTAGCTTTTGCAGATTTTTATATAGCTTTCGTATTTTGTAAGCTTTCAGAAATTGAGGGGCAACCGTATGAGGAGCATCTGAGGTCACTTCGTCTGTTCAGCCTTGGAGAAGACTGAGGGGAGATCTCATTGCATTGTACAACTTCCTTGTGAGAGGAGGAGGGGTAGGCACTGATCTTTTCTCTTGGGTGACCAGGGACAGAACCTGAGGGAATGGCCTGAAGTTGTGTCAGGGGAGGTTTAGGATGGGTATTAGAAAAAGGTTCTTCCCCCAGAGGGTGGTTGGGCACTGGAACAGGCTCCCCTGGGAAGTGGTCACAGCACCAAGCCTGGCAGAGTTCAAGAAGCATTTGGATTGTACTTTCAAGCACATGGTGTGACACTTGGGAATAGTCCTGTGCAGGGCTAAGGGTTGGACTCAATGATCCTTATGGGTCCCTTCGAACTCAGCATGTTTTGTGATTTTGTGAAAATGACTGAACTCATGCTTAAGAAATAAATCTGTGGAAATTGAGGTAATATTTTAGATAGAACTTGTGCTGAAAATTGAAACCTTTGAGAATGCATTTGAAACCTCAGTGTGTATTCCACTTAAAAAAAATATCTTTACTGATCATTATCAGACCATTATGCAAAATTAGAAAAAGGCAGTGTTAAATTAACGCTTATGTATATGAATTCTTTACCTACACTTTCAGTGAAAAATCTGAAGTTATTTAATGTCATGGTGCTTTGTCACTTCTTCCTGCTGTGATCCCTGTGTAGAACAATAGTCACCAAGCATTCAGCTTTCTAATATTTTCTTTCATTTACTGTTTCCTTACTGCATGGTATGATATTCCGCACATTATAAAATGTTGTAAAAAGAACCTGTAACTTCTTCATGGAGTTTTTCTAAAGCTTCTTTTTCACTGTAATGGTTTTCATTTACATTGTTGTCAGAGTTGTTTAAGAAATGGGGAGGTATTGGAATCCCTTTTATGCAGACCTTATTTAAATGAACTAAAGCACAGAGATTAAAGTATTTATGTTAATGCAGTAAGTAGCACCTAGAGTAAACCATTATCTTCTGTGTCAGCCTTCCATTAGAGGCAGAGGGAGGCAGAGCCTTTGCTCGGGAATTTTACAGCTGTTTTTTGAGAAACTGGAAAAGATTGCTGAGAATCCAGAACAATGTGTTCATGATTCATCGGGGTGGCACTGATTTCTTTGTCACCATAACTTTTTTCAGATTCTTTTTCTTGGTTTCTCTTTCTAAATCCTTGTCATACACATGACAATAGTTCCCAACATGTGGGAAGAAACATTATTTTTAGACTCTGAAATGCCAAGTTGAAGGATACCATTTGGAATGTTATATAGTCATTACAATCATTATGTGTGAATCTGTCAGTACAGGTGGAATCGAATAATTTAGATAACTTTATGGTAAAAGTTCTGCCAAGCACGTGGATGTTCGGTTTGCATCAATGTATAACTCTGTTGTATTAGACCATATTCTATGGGGATAGTAAAACAGATATCCCTAACAAGGAGACATTCTTCACCTACTGAAGGTCAACTACCTGGTCCAGAATGGGAGAAAGAGTGACATTGTTATGAGGCTGCTTCTTTTGTAAGATGGGTGGAAAGGTGCATAACTCCTTACTAGAAAGAACAAATGCATTTTGTCATTAAGAAGCTGGGAAACAATTCCCTGCCTGAGAGAGGCAACTGCATTTGGAAAAACTGTTAGCATTAAAAATAAAGATTTAAAATGGCTATTATATCCCATACTGCCCAGAATAACATGAGATGTATGAATTCAGATAGGCCTTTGGGGTAAATCCATTGAAACACTAACCCCAAATGTATACTGAAGTCCAGGTGAGCTCCTAATGTGAGAGAGAAACACCACATTAGCAAATTGTATAAAATGGAAGTGCTTGCCTGTCAGACACAAGTCTATTTGGACTTGAATGGCAAGTGACCTTGAGACAATTTCTGTGGGGGGAATGCTCCCTTTTAGCAGCCCCACTGTGAGGATGGTAAGTGACCTTAAAGAAGCCTCTCAAACGTGAAGCTGAGACTGTCCTCAGGGATATAGGGGGAAATATTTTAGGTAAAGTGTATCTCTGGTAGTCAAAACAAGCCGATGTGATGCCTGTATAGCTGTTTCTTAAATGATCTTATTCCATCTGACTTTATTCTATAGGCTTGCTTAGAAAAATCTCTTTTGTTTAGTTTTCGTTTGCATGTAAAATATGATATATATACTGTGGTTGATTATATTTTTTTAGGATTTCTGAAGTCTTTTATAAGTTTACAGAAAAAATTGCTGTAAGTATGGCCTATTTTTTTGTATCACTGTTTTCATCTGAAATTAGATGGTTACAAAAGTTATGTAGCCTCAAAGTTTCAAAAAATTTTCAGTGAAGTTCCACGGGGAGTAATATAGTCTTTCTGATTCTAATTTAAATAAATAAATTTGACAGGATGACTGTAACCTTGCTCACTGTATTGACAAAATAAAATGAGTTGTGTGGTGGAAATAAAGCAAGCCATCCAGAAAAATCCCCAAAGGCATGGATTTACCGCATGTGTAAGTGGGTCAACTCATGCATGAGAAATGAATGCTAAATGTAAATTGGTTGCAAAACTGTAGACTTTAAGTAGAATTGAATCAAGTGATAACCTGAATAGTTTGAAAGGGACGTCCTATTATGCTTTTCTTTAGAAAACAGTAACAAAGCTGAGAATTACAGAGAAATAACTAAACCATGTATTTGTGTTAATTAGAACAGTGTCATTGAGTTCCAGAATCAAGGCATTGTATACATTAATGTCACTGGCACTGGTAAATTTTAAGTTGAACCTGTATTTAATTAAACCTGTATTTGGGTTGATGAGTTGCCTTACATGAGACACATTTCAATTCAATAAAGACTGCTGTATTTCTTAATGAGCAAGATGTTCGATCCAATCTAGGAAAATATTTCTTGGGTTTTGCCTGGTTAAAATAATAATAAAGTAGAATTATCTAGTTAGGAGATATAAAAGAAAAAGATGGAAATTTCTGTCTCCCTGGTTTCATTTTCTATTTGCGGTAGCAACATTCATATTTCAAGGCAAGGCTTATATCAAAGGCATTAGTAATTCAAAAAACTGCTAAATAATCTTAAAATATGTAACACAACATTTTATGGACTTCATTTTTAGTCCATGGTAATTGCTATCTTATCAACAGATGCATTTGTTACAGACACAAATTGACATAAAAGTTTACTTCTGTACTTATTTACAACTCTGAACATCCTAACTGGAGGCTAAACCAGGTATGTAAATGTGAGGAATAAATTGACAGTTATGCTATTTTCACATTTTGCTACGGTATCGACTGTATTGCACTTGGCTCTTTGTGCTGCAGTTTATGGAATGAAAAATTCCAAGCTGTAATGAGGACAACTATGAAAAGTGTTTTGTGGCAACTGTTGTAAGAACCTGTCTGTCTGACTAAAGAACTCAAGTCTCTCTTTAATCACTCGTGACTTCAAGATGTAATCTACTTGGAAGGTTTCTGATATTTAAATATATGCCTTCTTTAAATTTTTTTTCCTATTGTGGTACTAAGTGACTAAATTATGACAAAACCCCAACAACTTATTTTTCCTGTGTCACTTGCATATTTTAGCCGTATCTAAATCACTAATTATTTTTAATGAGTGCATATTTTTGAAGTCATTATTTTTTACTTATAGAAAAAAGACAACGAAAATAAAACCTCTTCATAGCAAGTCAACTTGGGAGCTAATTAAAATGAAGATTTTTGAATGGGAAAAAAATTAATTAGCCAAAAAGTTGAGAACTAGGAGTTAGCACCTCCAGATATCTTTGAGTAGTTAAATGATTGCAAAGAAAATATAATTTCTAATTTCCTTGGTTTACTATACTTTCCATTACCTGCCTGTCATTTTACCTTCTAGTTCTGTCTTACCTGATGTTTTTGGGCTGTGCATCGGTTGCTAGGGCAGCATCTTAAGCGTTAAATCTCCTGCTGAAGAACAAGATGCTCTGCTTCTTCTGCTAATATCATCTTTAATCTTGATCCCTGGAGATTTGAATGTCTCACTCCTGTGGTGCTCACAGGCTTCATTGACCTTGACAACAGGGGTATCTTGTCCTCTGTGGTGCTCATTTTTTTTTTGCATGTTAACACATATGTCTGTGATTT